CCAGCAGGAGAGGCAGGAGGGTCACATCGTGAGCCGCATAGAGGTACAGCTTTCTGCAACGAGGAAACAGTTCTCCACTCGTCTTCTCTCGGGACCGGAGGCCAGGGCACGGCCTGCCTTCTCCAGGCAGGAACGCTGGCCTCCGAAAGCAGGGGTGTCTGGGAATCAGTGAGCCGGGCTCGGAGCCCCTCTAAGCGGAGGTTGGGAGGGGCCTTGTTCCCACTGCTGCCTCCATGAAGCAGGGGCCCCGCTGGGTGGCTCTCTGGCTTCCTCCCACCACGGGCTCCACGCCCACCCACCCGCTCCTCCCTGGTGAGTTTCAAAGACGACACTGAGCATGTGCGCCCGGGGCCCTTCCTCTCCTCTCCCGGGAGCCTGCCTACGCCAACGTCCCTCTTCCTCAGCTGTGTGATGAGCTTAGGAGAGCAAGGCTTCTCCTAGTTGGGGAAGCTTGCAATTTGGGGGAATTAAGTTCATTTCAAAGGAATATTAATGCACCTGCTTGGCTCTCAACACATTCTCCAATGGCTCTGATTAGTAATGAAGTTGCTATTTCAAGCCACATCTGTCTGACCCTTAAATCTATCTCTTGGGAAAGATCAAGGACTTTATTTGTTGAGCCCCAGACCAGAGGACTAGCACTGGGTGGTGAAGCAGTCTACAGACACAAGGCCGGGCAAAGCAGCAAAGGCTGCAGGAAACGAATGGCCATCACGGTGCTGTGATGGACGGGGAGGGGCAGGCCCACAATTTGCTATTATAAGTCTTGGCCCCAGTTCCTGATGTTCCTGCTTGAACTCACTGTCCCCTGCCTTTACCCTGGGATCCTTTTAAAATGCAGATTCTGATTCAGTAGGTGAGGCTGGGCCCGAGAAGCTAACAAGCCCAGACGATGGCAAAGCTGTTCACCCGCAGACCACACCTGGCTCAGCAAGCGCACAGGATGCTCAGCGTTCCACAGCGCGGCCCGTTCCTGGGCTTCCACCTGCTCACGTGGTGGTGGAGGCTCGTGAGCCACGGCCACCATTTTAAACTGCCGCGCGGCATCATACCCTTCCATACTCAGTGAAGGTACGCAAACTAAACCATCTATTAACCAGTTATCTTTGTTCTGGGCTATTATAATACAAATCAGTGATATCATAATTAGCTACTCTGTTTGACATGTTCAATTAGTAAAAAAATAGAAAAATTAATTTAGGGTTCTTTAGCTAAAATTAAAATTTCAAAACATGACAGATGGGTGTAGCAGAAAGAAAGGTGAAGATGTGAATGTCGTTGGGACTTGTGGCCTCTTGAACATCCACCGTCAGTCCCTGACAGCCTGGTTCTTGCCCCCCTGAGACCCGGGCGCCCTCCCTCCGCGCAGAGGCCCCCACGGCCCTCAGCTGCGAGCTGAGCTGCTGTGCGTACCTGTGGCTGCCGGGGGGCGTGGCCGGGTCCACCGCCGTCAGCAGGTTGCGCTCCAGGAGGTGGAGAAATGGTCCTACCGCCATCTGAAGACTTTCCCTGTGGCCAGGAAACAACACGAGGCCCCGCAGTCACTCGGCACGGGGAACGCAGGCTGGCGCTGCCCCTGCAGACCTCACAGGCCCCAGTCAGACAGAACTGAGGCAGAGACAAGTCAAGCACGAGGGGCAGCGACAGGCTGGGGGGAGAGAGCAGCGCGGCCGCGAGTTTGAGGGTTCTCTGTGCACAAACACTCCCAACAACTGAAGCCCAGAACACAGATCTGGCATGCACACAGCTGGATGGGAGGGTGGAGAGGGCAGACAGGACAGGTCACAGCACCAGGCCCTCAGGAATAAAGGGCAAAGCTGGCCAGGGCAGGGTGGCAGGACCGCCAGGCCTCCCAGAGGCCCGAGAAAAGCAATCCGACGGAGCCGCATCCTAGCCAGCTCCCTCGGGCAGCCTCCCGAGACCAGCCCGCAGCACCTTCCTCATTTAGAGCTGGTTTAACAGGTCAGTGGTCGTGTTCTCGTGCTCATGGGGCTGGTGCTGTGGCTCCACCACTGTCATTCCCAGGCTGGTCACAAAGCAGTAAAACGGGCCAGTACGCGGCCAAGAGACTTGGTTTTGGTGCCTCTCACTTTTATCAAAGAGAAAAAGCACCTCTCCCAGAATTCCCAGAACCCAATCACCGGCAAAAGGGAATGGGGTTGCCATGATTGGCTTAGCCCAATTCTTATTCATGTGACGGGATAAATGGCCACCTTTATAAATCAAGGAACGTTAAAGCAGTAGATGAG